CTAATCCCTCTGTGATTATCACAAGACGACTTGTCCCCCTTCTTGTATATCGGGATGATCAGTGACTTACACCAACCCGATGGGACTTCCTCTGATTCCCAGACGCTGCCTAGAACTCCGTTAACGCAGACAGTAACTGTCTCCTCCGTACTTAAATACCTCTGAGTCAATAAATCAGGTCCGCTGCTTTGCCTAGCTTCAGATTGTGTTTATTCTCTCCAGGATGATGCGACTCAGAATTTTACTTGGCGTCGACAGGAGCATGATTCCTCGCCAGTTCCTGCAGAGTCCTAGGTCGCCCTTCTTTGGTAGTTTCACGAGGTAACCTTTCCTCCAGTCAGTAGGCACCTTTCTCTCCTTCCAGACCTTTTGCAATAATGGAGTCAGCATATCTGCTGTCGTCTCTGGGTCCGCTTTCAGTGCTTCAGGGGGTATTCCATCTGGTCCAGCTGCTTTTCCAGCTTTCAGAAGCTTGATTGCATTCAAGACTTCAGCTTTCGTTGGAGGATTGGTGTCAACTTGCAGTTGTGTACGTGCTGTTGTTGGTATTTCTGGACGGGTTGCAGGTGGTGGTCGGTTCAAGAGTCCTTTGAAGTGATCCGCCCATTGTTCTTCACTTCTTTGTCCAGTGCTGTGTAAGTTGAACTCAGCGTCTCCTTCTCTTGTCCGTCTTTGCATTGAATCATTTTCTCTTTCACCATTCTTCTCTCCTCTGTTAGCTTCCAAGTGTTCGTTGAGAGCCATTCCTTGTCTTGTCTCTTCTTTCTTCCTAAAACCGTTGAACACGTTTCGTTGAAAATCACCTTCAGAGAGTTCCAATGGTCTTCCACGCATGATTCTTCCGTGATGCCACGTAGTGTTCCCTGCTATGCTCTAACAGTTGCAGTGAAAGTGTCATTTGTGGTTGTGTCCTTCAGTTTTTGAAGGTTGAACTTGCATTGTGGCCTATCCCCAGCTGTCCTCGAGGCTTTTAGCTTCACCTTGAAAGTCCCTTGTACTAGATAGTGGTCTGAACCCACATCTGCTCCTTTCCTCGACCTTGTGTCCAGTAGGCTCCGTCTCCACTTCCTTGAGATTGAAATGAAGTCTATCTGGTTTTTGGTGTGTCCATCTGGTGAAATTCATGTCGCCTTGTGTATATCTCTGTGTTTGAACACACTGCCACCAATCACCAAATCATTGAAGGCGCAGAAGTCTGAGAACAGTTCACCATTGTTGTTCATTTCACCTAGGGCCTCACGACCCATGGTGAGTTCTCTTCCTGTATTGTCTCCTTCCAGCTTCGCATTCGTATCACCCATCAGGATTTTTATATCGCCATTTGGGATGTTGTCCATTACTGCATGTATTTGTCTGTAGAAATCCTCCTTCTTCTCTTGTTCTGAGACTTTTGTAGTCACATAGCATTGAATGATTGTAACCTTCCTTCCTTTTGAGTTGAACCTAGTTGTCATTATCCTGGAGGAGATTGGCTCCCACTGCATGAGAGCTTTGGCTGCTGTTGGTGACATCATGATGGCCACTCTCTCGGTGTACTCGTGGTTGTCGTCTGGGTGACCGGAATAGATTATTGTCTCCCCAGTTGATAGTTGGCACCTTCCACATCCGTTCCATCTGCTCTCGCAGATTCCCAACACTTCGATTCCATATCTTCTCATTTCTGCGGCTACCTGGGCAGCCTTTCCAGCTTCGTACTCTATAAAAAAACACTATAAAAACACTCGTCGTATTGCCCATCTCATTGTTATGGATTAATAACACTCGTACTATTATTTCTGAATGTACATTATCTCATATTGAATTTTATTCCAATATCGAATCGATTCCACACATGTATATAAATGAAGGAAAGAAGTTGTGTGAGTAACTTGATATGATTATGAGCAATAGTTTGTGCTCGAAACGTCATCAGTTAATATAACTGTACAACACTGTGTGATTTATCAAAATAAAATCTTAACCATTATGGAGTGATACTCTACCACAGTGCCCAAGTTTTATACTTATATCAGCTTCGTACTTTGCACGATCATTCCACGTCCCCATCCTCATTTTTGCTTTCATCGAAAGAAAGCACATCGTCTGACTGGCTTCCCGAAGGCTTTCACCAGCCTGCGTCATTTCACTTCCTCGATTCCAGCGAAAAATAAGGTTATTGTTTATACTTCTAGAATTTTTAATGTATTTATGCGTTAAAGTTTCTGTAACGATGTGGTTAAGTTTTGGTGGTGGAGTTGCTAGCACCACACCCCAACCCTCCCTCTTTATCCGGGCTTCGGACCGGCTAGAAAACTAGTGAGCTGGTAATCTAGGCGAGGTTATAACACTGTGTGATTCTATCAAAATAAAATTTTATCCATAATGGAGTTATACTCTACTAAAGTAGCCAAGTTGTATCCTTATATCAATAATGCTTATATCTTAGTGTAGGGAAGTAATGGCCGGGATGGTCGTAAAGGGCTTAGTGCTTGTATTAAAATTGTCAAGACCTTCTCTGATAGTGTGAAGCTTTGTGTGGCATGCGTGTGCCAGTTTGCCAAGGGGATTATCATATTCACTCCTCCGAACTTCCAAGGTAATCAGCAAGGTCTCTCAAGTCCAGAATAGCGATGAGAGCTTGTCTCAATCTCTGCCACTGCTCAGTTCTAGTCTCTAAGCCTGTCTTTCGCATTTTACAGTCAGGAGTGTATTTGGGCATTCGAACATATAGTAAAGTTTTGTTTGACATTATTCAGCGTTTTCTGAACACCTTATGCGGAAGTCTTGTTGTGTTTGGCATGCGATTCTCTCCTGTCACATGTGAGACGATGCTGCAGGACTGGTGTGTGACGACTCCCAGATTAATGATAGAGAATGAGTGGGTTGACCGCTTTACTTATTGTCGAAGTTGCACCAACCCCCATGGACCATCTGATGACAGTCTGCAGCAGCCTGTTGGAAATGCTTTTGTTGACTCACTAAGCCTAAACCATATAGAAGCACTGAGTTGACAGTAGTGTTGGAAATCCGAATCTTGTTCTTCATGCTGATTGCGGCAGGTTTGCACACTGATTTCAGAATAGTCCAGTTCTGTCTTGCTTTTCCAATCCTGGGTTTGACATCCTCATCTGTGCCTCCCGTAGTTGAACCAATGCTCCCTAAATAAGTGGAAGAGGCGTGACTACTTTTAGCTTCCTCCCATTGATAGTGACTGGTGTTTGTTGTTGTTGGTAAATGGTGTAATATAGTGAGTAATATTAAGGTTAGGTGTAGAACGTTAGGTAAAGAGGGCAAGTCAATCGATGAGGTTGTGAAGCTGCATTGATCCAGACGTCAGGGATACGCCGAGCAGTGTTAACGGACACATGATAAGGTCATAAAAGCGTTAGAAGAGGTCAAATCAAAACCTGACATCAATCGATTTTTCTGAATTTTTTTCTCTACCTTTCCATGCTATATGGGGTGTGACAACTTGAAGTGTAGCATATCTGTGCAAAGTCCTACGTAGGAAAGTCAATGAATCAATTAGGTAAGCAACAGAAATTGAAAAAAGCCGCAAAATAATATTTAGTTTATCAAATAGTTACTTAAAGTAATCCCAGTGTGTTTAGAAAATCAAAACAAAATTCTTCTGAACGCTTTCTGTGTAAGCTACAGCTCCTTCAGCAGAATTATTCGGATTTTAATGATCATCAAACCGATGATATGGGGATCTCTAATATGAGCAGTTTTGATCGAAAATGATTATCCGAAAAAGCTGCTAAACAACATTTCCAATAGAAATGGATGAAGAAGGAGGTAAGATTGAGAAATCTTGGTTGTCGACGATAGCCATTCCACATCGAAAAGACATGACTGAACAACCTCAAAGGATACTTGCTTCACATAATGATTTAGTCTATTTAAATCCCTCTAATTCTTTAGAGGAGGCTGTAGTTAGTGTCAAATATTTATTTGCTACAATGACACAAAACTCCCGTGCCTATAGGATAACCTGTTTTGAATGTGAAGCTTGCTATATAGAGGAAAGAAATAGAAAGACAAAGGTCAGAGTGGATGAACACAGACTGTGCACAAAACGTCTATGTAGGAAGGAAGTTGAATTGAAGAGTCTGGACGAAAGACCAGCTATAGAAATGCATGCTTTAGAAGTGGTCATAAGATCGATTTTGATAATATCGAAATACTTGGAAAAGGCTTTGATCTAAAATACGGTGTGCTTCTCGTCGCTTTGCCTTCTCACTAGTCTATACTGTCTACTTGTTTTACTACTGACAGTGTTGTATACTTTGGATTTTGCAGGAACCTCTCATCTGAGGTCTATTCTACAACCAGTGCAAAGCTTCCACCAGTAGACACGACTCCAGCAGTGAACACTATTGTGGATTATATTAATAATTTGTGGCGGTGGACTTTAACTGATAATATCGAGATACTAGGGAAAAGCTTTAATTCACATTGAGAAAGGCTGACGTCTGAAACCCTGCATAATTTAACTACATCGAATGCAATAAATAGAGGAAACGAATAGACTGATCAACTGTATGGCGAACTCCGATTAAGCGAAACCGAAGAAAAGTAATCTGTTACCATTTCTGACCTCTGAACAATTATCATGATTCTGACGTGAGATCACGTGTTTTCCAAGCAGCAAGTAATGTGTGAGTAATTCTGCTGAACAAGCTGTGGCTTACACAGCGAAACGTTCATAAAATCTTGTCTTGGTTATCTCAACACACTGGGATTATTTTAAGTGATTTCATAATGATTCAATCTGACTCGACGCTGAAATTATTCCAGGGAATTCGCAAATTCTCCGAGCTGGTATTTCTAACATTAGTGTGTTTCATTTTGTAAATTTTTTCCCTTATATCCATATATGGTGTCACGTAGTTATTTTTTCATCTTGATTATTTACACTAAAGCACGATTTCCACATTTTGTTTTCTGTCTTTACAACATGTGTGCTTTTCCTGCATCATTTTCATGTCATTTCATTTTTCACTATAGGATTTTATAAAATGACTGATGTCACAGAATCCCGGAGATGTTTCCGTTGTTGCGTTTTATTTAACACTGACGATGAGTTTTGGCATCACATTCTAAATGTGGATTGTGATGATTCAATAAGTGCCACCGCGGTTCAGACTTCGTTGCCGGGTAGTATACACCCAAACGATGAATCACAATCGGTATGTGCATCAGTCAGTAGCTCTTATGTTGGTGGTCTTCGTGATGAGAATTTTCAGGCAAAAGAAGATTTCCAAATGAAGTCCACTTCGCCAGAACACCAGTGTAAAATAGATTCATCTCCTGGGGCACTTGGAAGAAGTACAGATACACCTGTGTTGAGTACCGAGTCATCCTTATTCTGTGATGTTTGTCAAGTACCATTTACATCGATTAAAAATAAAGAAGAGCATGAGAATGGTAAAATGCATAAAAAGCAAATTGTGTTGAAGTCAAAATGCAGTAGTCAATTGAATATCAGTCAGTCATCAAGCGTTATTGATGACGTACAAGAAGGTTTGTCAAAGATTCACATTCACTGGCCACGAGCAACCCAGAGTTTTATGAACACCAACTCACCTGTCAACGAAACTGTTGATACCGAGCAACAACCCACAATGCGAAATAGTGGTCAAGAAGAAATCATCCGTCTCCTACGTCGATTGTGCCTGACGGAAATATTAATCCTACTTCGTGATCTGGATGGTAATCCACATATCAGTTCAGGAAATGATTCACCTGAAACAGAACCGACATCCAGTATTAATGAACGAGATCTAATCGAAATGATGAGAACTATCTGTCGTGAGGAGTTGCGTGAAATCCTACCGGCAGCTTTACAACATGCTTCTCACCAGTCCAGAAATGTCAACACGTAGTCTGGTTGTCAACTGCAGGGAAGTAAACCTCCTTCAATTATGTAAATAACAATTTAACTTATTTTGATTTTCTTACATATTTTAAAAGAGTGATGATTATTTTTGAGCTATAACATTTTCAATTACCGATTAAAATTTCTAGATATCATTTCTGTTTTGTGATCTAAAGATAGAGTGTTATTGCTTCACCTATGATTGTGATGCGTTCTAGGCGTTGGGAATGAAATACATGAGATATTTAAGTTTTAGTCTGTCGTAAGTGTAATTAGTTTTCTTCTGAAGTGAGTGTAAAATTTACTGATCTGTTTGACAACTAAATTAAGTAGTCCACCGCTTCTTTCTTGTTGCTGTCACCGTCTCACAGATTTACAGTTTTACTCCAAACGATGGAATGATCACTTGATATCGCGTTAGTATAATTTGCAGTATATTTCGTGTTGTCGTGCAAACATTTGTTTTAACTTTGATGCTTTTATAATCATTGTAGTTTCAAACACTCAGGTTTCTCAGGACCTGTGAAATAAAATGGAATCGCTTGACACAGCTAATTTGGTCTGACTTACTTTGTGAAAAATTATCACGGGACTAGAGTGTAAGAAAATAATTTGTATCGGTAGATATCATTGGTTTATTACTTTTGTAGTAAATTATTGGTGAAAATATCTACAAACGAGGTTTGGTAAAGTCCTATACCGGAATTGCATAACAGTTTTGCGAGAAGACGGATTTAATGATATGTTGTGTCACTAATAATATATTTTATTATGCATCTTGTCCAACTGAAGTTGACGGTATTACGTGAAATAAGTTAGAAATACCGTTATGAATACGAATTGTGTACACTAAGTTTTCCTGTTGTGAGCGTTTTGATAGCGAATAGGTTGGAAAAGTCGGACAACAGACTATGAGATAGATCCAGAGTTTAATTGCTTTGATGTACAACAGAGTGAGGCATTGATAAGAAAAGATGGAAGGTTAACTGAGAATGTGTCAGTCTTTGACACCATCTGGTTACTCGTTCTGAAATGACTTAAGGTATGCGATTCATTTTGATTGTGTTTAGCTCTACGCATTTGTAGGCTAGTTAGTGTGCGATGAAGACTGATGCAAAGGTGCATCTTCGGTTTGTGATCATGACTTTGCTAGGTTGTGTTCAAATGGCTTGGAGAAATATCCAATGTAGTCTCTAGACATTGCTTATACGTGTGATGTAAGATCAATATTCTTAAGGTTAAAATGTTGGTAAGGCTGCACGAAGTGTTGAGACTACTTCTTTGAGGAGAACAAGTAGTTGTGCAGGATGTTGTAAGCTTGATGGAGAAGATTCATAGCTCAGGTGAATGATATTGATTTAGTTGCGAAGATGTCACTAGATCTGTAGACCTCTTTAAATTGTAGTATGCTGGGGAGATGTTGTCTGGAAAGACAGTGAGAGTTTCGCAACTAATCCATCCAGCTGAGAGAAGACGATTGCACGAAGGGTTGTAAGTGTTTCGAATAGATTGAGGAATCTGAAGTCAATTTAAAATCTCCTCAGATCGATTTTCATGCTAGTCATATACAGCGGAAGAGGGGAACATCATGATAGACAAGACTTTCTTGGCAATGCCTAGTCAGAAGCCAAATGAGCGGAATATAAAGAAAAGCGAGCAACTGAAACTAAAACAACTACAGGATATAGGTCAACTATCATTACAAGAACAGATAAAGACATTGCCACGGTTGTTATGAGTTCTGTATGTCATAAGAAAGCTATGGAGCACCTTAACATTGGACAGTATGAAAAAGTCAACATGACCAAGTCAAGGGCAACATTGAATAAACTAGAGGCTGAAAGAAGCAAAATGTTACAGTCAATATAAGAGAAAATCGGAGTGTTACTTAAGTTTACACTGGTTCCAAAAAGTTTCAGTGCCTGCAGATTTTATGGATTACCAAAAATGCACCAACCAGATGTTCCATTACGCCCAGATTTGGATTATACTAATTCTCCTACCTACAAACTCCCCAAATACATTTCACGAATACTAACTCCATGTGAAATCAAAGTGGAATACAGAGCGAAGAATTTGTATGGATTTAAGAGAAAGAACACCCCTACTTCTGTTAAAGAAGATGAAATAATAGCAAGTTTCGATGTCTATTCATTACTCAGGAATGTTCTTACTAGGGATTCTTTAAGCAGTGCTTATAATTTACTTCGTTCTGACAGCGAACTGAATGCTCGTTGTTCTTTAAATCCAGATGAAATTATGAAGGCATTGGAAATGTGTCCATGTTCCACGTTATTTACATTCAGAGGGATTCTTTACCACCAAACGGAAGGCATTGCTATGGATTCCCCGGTGTCTCAGTTAGTAGCCAACCTATTAATGATGGACACATTGGAAACTAATGCAATTATGAGATGCCCTACTCCTCCAGAAATGTGGTTAAGATATGTAGATGATACCTTTGTCATGGTCAGACTCCGTAAGTTGAATGAACAGTTTCATTTAATAAACGATATGTCAAACACTAATTTTTCAGAAGAGGTTGAATCCAGCGCAAATGATTTGGCTTCCCTGGACCGTTTAGTAAAAGGACAACTAGATGTAAACTTAAGATAAACACTTTCAGATAGCCTACACATTCGGACAGATGCCTAGATTACAATTCAGTACACCCTTGTACCACCAAAGTAACTGTGGCTCAACGTCCGGTTACTGAGGTGGAGGAGATCAGCAGGGAACTAAAATTGGTTCAGCCTACTCTTGAATCAATCAATTGCTAGAAAACCTTTATTAAAATGAATTTAAAAAGTTAAGATAAAGATGAATCGAAACCTGTTGCTAAGACCTGGAGTTAGTAGAGTGGTGATTCCTTATCTCAAAGAAACATCGGTTGAAATAAAAGCGAATCTCCAACAGTTATGACATAATAATGTCCTTTCGTGCTCATCACTGGTGAAGGTCAAGAGTAAAATAGAAGGAGACAACTAACAGAATTGTGTGTAACAGTTCAATTCTGGGGACTGTGACGCTGTGTATGTAGGAGAAAATTCCAGATAGGTAAATGTGAGAGTAAAAGAGCATAAACAATATCTGAAGGTGGTTCCAAAGACCTCTTCAAATGTGAAGAAGCTAGGAAACATATCGGCGAGTGCATTACACTCGATAGAATGTGAATACAAGATCGACTTTGATAGCACCAAGGTTCTACAGGAAAGTTTTTGTTCGTATAAAGACTGACTGCAGTAGCCCTACATATATCAGTGAATCCTCAAAGCTTGAACAGACGTGAAGGTGTGGTGTTAGCTGATGCATGGCAAGTCCTGATGAATAAATAAAAAAGTGGATATGCATCACTAATTAATCATACGCGGTCTGAATTCCCGATCGTCTATATCTTCTTATGGAGAGGCTAACAAATGTTTTACAACTGTTTACCCATGCACACACACTATTGCATACCTCCTATACATATATTTTTCATATACATTTATCTATCACCATGATCTTTAGTCGAACGGGATCACTAAAACCCTGACGCAAAAGTATACATTTCACAGTGTTTAACAAAAGTAGACTAATAATTGTATGTTTGTGATCAAATTCTGGTCACAGTTCATGTAGTTTTGTTAATTATATAGTAATGTCTGTTCATGAATTATATGATTGGACAAAGTTATTAAAAACAAGGGATGTCCTTTTCATATATAAACCTCTGTCGTGTTAATTTCGATCAGCTTCCCCGAAGAAGTTCAGGGCAGTTTGCCGAACGAAACGTGGGAATTACTTATTTCAATTTTTCTGAGATTTTACAAATATAAGTTTTACATATGAGTTTCAGGTTGTTTCCCCCAAAGGATAATCTATCGATCCAATGGATACTCGAAAAGTTCAAATCATGGCGATTCCGAGGTCAAAATAAACCTTTGAAACTTTTTAAGATGGATTTAATACCAGAAGTAGTTGCACCGACCAGTTTAACAGTTTCTCCAGAAGCATTTTTAGCAACATGAAATATAAGGGAAACCGGTGGACATCGAATCAAATGCCATTTTTTTCCTGGGAATCAACGTTATCTCCGAGGCATTATCTAGCTGAAGTTCAACTGGGTGATCATTTGAAGATACGTCAATCCTAGACGTGTACATGTGAAACATTGTAACCTGTCTTGATCTGTTTCCTGGATATGGAAATTGACCTAATGCTCGGTGGATTTGAATCAGTACTGTTAAAGTCAGGCCTGTATATGGCTCCATATTTTTGGCGACTTCTACACTTGTTCTTCGCATTATCATGTACAAGTGTAATGCCGGGCAGAACCAACAACCATTTGGGTATTTCTTGTCTGTTGCAGAACTTGAGTAATCTTTTGTGATAAGGACTGAGATTGACTGAGTACATGAGATCACTTGAAGGAGGGTTGTTGTTTTCAATTAATTTTGTATGGTACTTCAAGTTCATCAGTCTTTGACACTCATCCATCACCTCTCCAGGCATCAATGTAGCATTGTGCTCAATACAAGATAGAATGTGTATTCGGATATTGGAATCAATTGAAGAAACAAAACCACGAGTGGGAATTAGGCATTCGAAGTCATCCTGATCAAGTGAATCCAACTGCATATGTGATGGAGACCACTTTGACTAACTCGTCGTCAGACAACAAATATTGAATCAAACATCAAATTAAGTTCAGTCTATTTTGCGTGAGTTTTTCAAAATTCAATTCCATAAGATGACAGTTGTGTTAAGCAAATAGGAGTTTAAGAAGAATGTAGACAATCAAAGGTAACACGTACACTGTTAAATTAGAATTAGCATTAGTTGCCATGGTTATCGAGAAAACAACTAGTTACAGAATTACATTGATTGATTTGTCAGCTATAAAATGTTCCAAATTGAACTTGGTAACATGTGACAAGTTATGTAATACATTGAACCTAGTCTATTTCACAAGTTTTTTCTTTGACTTTTTTTATGGAAAATAGAATATGTGAAAATCACTCGGGATGTAGTTATAATTAAGCATTTGTGAAATTGTGTTTATTGAAGG